CACGACCACGACGGCTACGGCGCCTACAGCAACCACGGCAAGTACATCACCTTCTCCGGCTTCTTGGTGTACCCCGACCTCGCCCCCGCCGCCCCGCCAGGCCTCGGGGCCCCGGAACTGCTGTGAGCCCCGGGCCAGAGAGGAGCCCGGGAGGGCCAGGGGCGTGCATGCCGGGCCAGGCCCGCGGCCCGAACGCCTCGCGCGAGCGCCACGGCCGCCGGGCGCGCCTGGACTCTGCCAATAAAGCGGAAAGCGGGCCTGCGCAGCGCCCGGCAACCCAGGCCCCTGCGCTGTCTTGACTGCGACGCATTCGCTGGGGGCAGGCGGGATAGGCACTGACTACTGCGGGCCCGCAGGCCCGGGGAAGGGGTTGGAGGTTGGAGAGCAGGGTCCCCTCAGACCCTGGGAGGGTGAGGAGGTGGGAATTTGGTGGAACCACATTCGCCTAGTCCGTTGGGGGCCTCCCTTTCATACCCCTACCTCGTCCAGCCCTCTGACTCATCATTGACCTACGACCTCAGCCTTAGCCCCTGGCTGATGCCTTTCTGTGACAAGGAACAGCACCCCATTACCCCACTGAGGGCATGAGATTCAAGGAGAGTGCATTCCTCCTTCCAGCAGGGCATGGGAATGGGATGAGGAGTTGATACCTGGTTGCCCTGACTCTTGCCTTCCCAGGATGGGGAGAGTGATTTGCCCAGAGCAGGAGTTAGACCGCTTATTCCGACATAGAATGACACAGGCTTCGGGAGTCCGAAACAGAACATTTTATGAGAAGAGCAACACAGAATCAGGGCCACACCTGGCCCAGCCCACCTCCGCTTGTCTCTGCTTGGTCTGCCAGCCTTACTCCCACATCTAAGGTGTTGAGATATTGCCTCCCTACCCCAAAAGAGAAAATGTTCCTCCCTCCCCGTTTCCCTCCAGTCCTCCAACAGACAGAACTCAAAAAGTCTATTCTCCCAACCCAGATGGGAACTTGGAGGCTCAGGGACCCCAGATCCTTGGTTGTGCCTAAAAGGGGGTGCTCTGCACCTAGAGGATTCCTGTGAATTCCACAGGACCTATCACAGAGCGCCAAGGTAGGAGTTGGAAGGTCTGACCTGGCCTTACTTGGGGCAGCTTCCCTTTCAGCATCTCTTGAACACACTTCTCAACCCTGACCCCTGATCTCAGCACACACACACTGCCTGCAAGTCGTGCCCTTAGCTCTGTGGCCACTCCTTGCGACCCACAGCCTGGGTTCTTAGCCTCTCAAGATCCAGGAAATAAGATCGATTGGGTCGGGGTAAGCAGAGAGGGGGTGTCCAGGGTGCAAGCCAAGCCCAGAGATCTGAACACAGTGGAAAAAACCAGATGCCAGACAGAAGCCCCTGCCCAAGATGGGTCTGCCTGGGGAGTTGAGGAGGAGATGGGAGGGGGTAATGGCAGGTGAAAGAGCAAAAGGGGAGGGTCAGGGGAAGGGGTCAAGGATGGAAGCCCAGGACCCCAGGGAAGGGGGCTGATCCTGGGGGCAGAAACCCTTGCATAGGTCCCAGAGTGTTTCCTGTGCCAGGAGAGTGAAGACCTGGGCCCAGCGGCCCCGTTCCTCAGCCTCACTAGCTGCGTGGAGCCGGTAGACGCAGGACAGGCCTGTGAGGAGCAGATGTTCAAAGTCCCAAGTGCTAAGAGGAGGCCCCTTCCGCAGGTCCTGGAGCTGCTGCAGCCGCTGCTCAGCGCCCTCCAAGTCACTGGGCACGTGGTGCTGCAGGAGGAGCCTGAGTCGGCGGCCTGGGTGTGTGGACGCTAGTTCCTCATCCTGGATGTGCAGCTGCCCCATGACATCCAGCTCCAGCCCAGCCCAGAGCAGCTGCAAGGGGAGGCATGTAAGGGGTGGGCTGTGGCTTGGGGAGCAGGGCGGGGAGCAAGAGTGGGCTGGGGGAGGGGGCAGAAGCAGGCAGCAGGACCCATGCTGGCTTGCCCCCACCAACCCCTAGCAGGTCCACCCTGAGACATCCCCATTCCCAACCCTGAGCTTAGGGACCTCTGGACATGCCCACCCTCATGTCCCAGGCTGGGAGGAAAGACCTCAAACATCACTTCCGGGGCCTCTGGCTTCTGCAGGCCACCTCCCACGCTGGTGCTGTCCATGGGCTGCCCTGGGGCAGCAGAGAGGAGTCAGGCCCCTGCCATGCTACACCATGAACACCCCAGCCTCCCAGAAGTGTCCCTCTGCTGCGTGGTAGAGGTCCCAAGTGCTTCATCATTCTACAAAAGGGCAGGAATGCCATCCCATGCCCCTGTTTCCCCTCCCTCTCATGCACACACATGCACATTGACATTCACTCTCCCAGGCATAGGTCTTCTGATCTCAAAAGCATCATTCCAAGCGTAGTTACCATGTTGGCAAATGCCCAGGACTCCTCCTCTAAATTGCACAATGCCCTTGGTAAAGAGCTCCAGGCCAACGGGTCACAAGACCCTTCCCCACCCTCCTCCTCTCCCTATAATCATCGGAGGACAGAGTCACCTAAAACAGTGCCAGTGACTCTCCCAAGGACAAGGACCTCTTTAGGAAGAGCCTACTCTCCCTGCTCCTTCTCAGCAGTAAGGGAGGGAGAAGGAGGACAGGGCAGGGAGGATAGGGCAGGGGAGGATGTGAGGCAGGGACCACAGGGCAGGGGAGGATGTCTGTGGCAGCTCCCTCCGGCCCACACCTTGGGGTGTTGCCTCACCCTTGTAATGTTTGTTCCAAGCCTAGACAGGTCAAGAGACCCTGCTTTGGGCATCAGTGGGAATCAGCCCAGGGCCAGCATTAAGAGCACCTAGGGCTATCTCCCTAGTTGTCACCTGTATCTTTCCAGTTCTGGGGGGGGCGGCCCACATTGTCACCCACCACAGCACACATCAGCCTGGTACCCACCATGCCCACACTTCTATGCCCGACTAGCCTCAAATAGAGCCAGCTGTTAACTGCCGTCAGCCAGCAGCCTTCCTTGGCTCCTTTCCACCCACCCTGAAGCCCCGGTACCTGCATGGTGCTGGGTTGTAGTCACACCAGAGAGGAGGCAGATGGCTACCACCAGGCAAGCCAGGAACTGCAGGGTCGCAGCCATGCTCCACCACGTCCTCTGAGTTTCACTCTGTTCAGCAGTTCTCTGCTCCCTCATCTGCCTGCCACACACCTCGGCTCCAACTTTCCACTGCAGGCTGCTCCAGAGCTCTGTAATGCGTGTCATTCTTCAATGCTGAACAGGGAGGGGCTGGCTGTGGCCTCGGTCACCTCCCATGGGCTCTTTCCATCCTTTAGAAATGGGGAATCTTTGGTTGTTGGCAGGAGCCTGGCTCCCTGCTTGTCAGGCCCTCAGCCTGTTCCTGCCCAGCTGGGCGGTATGCTTAGTTAATAGGAAAAAGGTGTTTGGTAGCAAATAGCTCTAGCTTGGCCCTCCCAAAGGGTAGGAAAGAGCCCAGGCGGTAAGACCATCTTACCGTCTGCACCCTCAAAATATCCTGCAACTGAGACCAGCCCCAACACCCAGTCTGGCCCAGCCCAGCCTCCATGGAGCCCTTCAGCTGCCAAAAGCATCAGCTGCAAAGTCTTCCAACTGCATGGCGGGCTGGCTGGGCGGCCCTGCATACAGGCAGAGCCAAGCACTCCCGTCTCAGGCACTCTGCCGCAGGCTGAACAGACCCCTAGACCAGCTGGACTAGGGAGTACTGTCTCCTGGCAGACAGACAAATCTGCAGCTCCTCAGTGGTTTTTGCCCCAGCCCTGGGACCTCTTATTTCCTAACAACATTCTTAATTCAGGGTGGGCACCGTGGCTCATGCCTGTAATCCCAGCACTTGAGGAGGGCAAGACAGAATGGCTTGAGCCCAGGAATTCGAGACCAGCCTGGGCAACATGGTGAGACCTCATCTCTACAAATAAAAAAATTAGCTGGGCATAGTGGTACACACCTGTGGTCCCAGCTACTCAGGAGGCTGAGGTGGGAGGATCAGCTGAGCCCAGGCAGTCTAGACTGCAGCGAACCATGATCACACTGCTGTACTCACCCTAGCTTGGGCGACAGACCAAGACCATGTCTCAAAAAACCCCCACCAGCCCGGCGCAGTGGCTCACACCTGTAATCCCAGCACTTTGGGAGGCCGAGGAGGGCAGATCACGTGAGGTCGGGAGTTCGAGACCAGCCTGACCAACGTGGAGAAACTCCATCTCTACTAAAAACACAAAACTGGCTGGGTGTGGTGGCACAAGCCTGTAATCCCAGCTACTCAGGAGGCTGAGGCAGGGAATTGCTTGAACCCGGGAGGCGGAGGTTGCAGTGAGCCAAGATCATGCCATTGCACTCCAGCCTGAGCAACAATAGCAAAACTCTGCCTCAAAAAAACAAAAACAAAAACAAAAAAATACACCATTCTCAGCTCAGGCCAGAAACCAGGAAGGTTTCTATAGCCCAAGAGTGATGGGCTGCCATGCCACACCCATCCTGAATCCCTGTGGACCGGGAGAACTTTTAATTACAGCTCTAGAATTCCTCTCAGAAATACATCCATGCCTGCAGGCCACTAGGTCTGCAACTACACTCTTTAGTCCCATTAAAATAGACCCCTAGCTGAGTGTGGTGGCTCACACCTATAATCCCAGCACTTTGGGAGGCCAGTGTGGGTGGGATCATTTGAGGACAGTAGGTCAAGACCAGCCCAGGCAACATGGTGAAACCCCATCTCTACAAAAACTAGCTGGGCATGGTGATGCACATCTGTAATCCCAGCTTCTCGGGAGGCTGAGGTGGGAGAACTGCTTGAGCCCAGGAGGCGGAGGTTGCAGTGAGCCGAGATCGCGCCATTGCACTCCAGCCTGGGCAACAAGAGCAAGACACTGTCTCAGAAAATAAAAAACAGAAAAACCCGTAAGACTCCCTGGTTTAGTAGTGTCTCTCTAAGGGAGCAGGGAAACACCCCTGCCTGCCTGTGTCCCCCGTCAAACATCATTTCTCCCCATTACAAGCACACACGAATTGGTGAGTCTAAGTAGGAATTTATTTACACCGACACTCAATCTTAGATAAGGCGCTGTCTAGGATCCACATGCCTTCCCTGGAGCTACTTGGCTTCAGGCTTCTTATCTCCGGCTTCAAGCTTGAGACTCTCCGGGGGTTGGCGATAGACTGGGAAAGCCTCCCAGGGGCTGTTCAGGTCAAATTTGCGGAACTCTTGGGCCAACTCCACCGGCTCTGCCACCACCCGCTTCACCTCATCGTCATAGCGTACCTGTAGGAGCAAAAGGCAGGCTTGAGCACTAAGGAAGTCCCTATTACAGCTACAAAGGAGCCTATTTTTCACAAGGCTATGGATGACTTCCCCAGTCCAGTTCCTCTCCGTTACTGACTTCTGTCCCAGCCTCTGTTAATAAGTCTCCATCCACACCTGTGTTACCCATCAGATCACATCCCAACCAGCTAGAGTGTGAGATTCCAAAATGTAGGATACCTCTCATGCCCTGCCAGCACCAGTCAGACTCCCCTGCTCACCACTCCTGCATCAGGAGCTCCCAACTGCCTGCTCACCCACCCACACACTCTTATAAGGTAATGGTAAGCATCTGCCCAGGATTATAGTAGTGGGTGGCTGAAAAGAGTAAACCTAAACTGGGAGATACACAACCTCAGGCCCTGGGCCCTTAGCATATTCACTGTCCAGATCTAAAGCGGTACGTTTGACATGGCTTTTCTTGTTACTGGGGGATCAAATGGATGAGGTCAGGATCATCAGGTGCTAGAGTGAAGAGGCAAACCAGGTGAGGCAGATAGCAGGAGTGGGGTGAAAGGGAGAAGCAAGGGAGATAGCCCTGCCCAGAAGTAGCCTAAGAGGGAAATAGGAGCATGCAAAGCACTAACACAGCAGGAGTGACTGGGGACTAAAAGACCAGGGCTGGAGCACCACATCTCAGCATTTCTAAACAGTTACTTTGCTATAAAAGTCACGAGTAATAATAATACACACTATCTTCCTGCAAATAAACAACCTGCAGCACCACTGAAATTCTTTATTCACGTTATTGGTCCCACCTCAGAGGTAATTCTTGAGGGCTAAACATTTGGCATCTTCCCCATCACTGCCTTCCCAGAGAGTCAGGGCAGGGTAAAATAATCCTCTACTTTAGGTTTTAGGGGCAGACTACGTCCTCAAGGCTGCCTTGATCATTAAAATTATCATTACAATAATGGATAGCACTGGCCAGGTGCGGTGGCTCACGCCTGTAATCCCAGCACTTTGAGAGGCTGAGGTGGGCAGATGGCGTGAGCCCAGGAATTTGAGACCAGTCTGGGCAACATGGAGAAACCCCATCTTTACAACAGATACAAAAATTTGCTGGACATGGTGGTGCACGCCTGTAGTCCCAGCTACTCGGAGGACTGAGAGGTGTGAGGATTACTTGAGCCTGGAGGTGGAGACTGCAGTGAGCCGTGATCGCACCACTGCACTGCATCCTGGGTGACAGAGTGAGACCCTGACACACACACACACATAGCATCAATTGAGCCTTTACAATACAGCAGGCTTCATACAGCATTTATTTATTTAGAGATAGGGTCTCACTCTGTCACCCAGGCTGGAGAGCAGTGGCGTGATCTTGGCTCACTGCAACCTCTGCCTCCTAGGCTCAAGTGATCCTCCCACCTCAGCCTCTTGAGCAGCCAGGACCACGGGCATGTACCACCATGCCCCGTTAATTTTTCTATTTTTTTGTAGAGATGAGGTTTCACCATGCTGTCCAGGCTGTTCTCGAACTCCTGGACTCGAGCACTACTCCTGTCTCCCAAAGTGCTGGGATTACAGGCGTGAGCCTACACATACATTATTTAATGCCTGCCACAAATCTATTAGTTAAGTGCTATTATTATTGCCATTTTAAGATGAGAAAGCTGAGTCAGTCAAACCAAGTAACTTGCCCCAAGTTACAAAAATGAAACTAGGATCTGAATCCAGGGCCCATGCTCTTAAACCACCACAATCCACAGACCACATTTCCTGCCATTCCCAGGGATCCCCTGAGTTCCCTGCAAGTCCCTCCCTGAGACTGTTGTCCCAGTTCCAAGGCTCCTACCTCAACGTAGCCAGATAGAGGAAAGTCTTTCCGGAAAGGATGTCCCTCGAAGCCATAATCCGTCAGGATCCTTCTTAGATCAGGGTGGTTAGCAAAGAAGACTCCAAACATGTCCCAGATCTAGGAAAGAGACTCCCTCAAACAGCCAATCCATCAAGACCAACAACAGGGGAAGGGGCTATATGGCATCCCATAGTCTCAACCAGTTCTGTAACTCTGGCCCAGAGGCAGGTCCACCATATCCGGTAACTCACCTCCCTTTCATACCAGTTGGCTGCCTTGAACACAGACATAGCGGACTCAATGGGCGTCAGCTCATCTGTGTAGGTCTTCACACGGATCCGTGAGTTGAAGCGCAGAGACAACAAGTTGTAGACAATCTAGGGAGAACAGAAGCATCTGGAGGGATGAGATGGGAGTCCCTGGTTGGGAGAGTTCTGCCCTGTGACCCTGCTTTCTATTCTGAACCTCAAATCCTCAAGATTCTCCTATGCTTACAACTACTTCCAAAGGCCCAGGCCACAGCTCTAGCTTAGCATGTCAGCATGCCTGTGTTTGTTCATACTATTCCCTTTGTCAGGAATATTTCCCTGGTCCACCTCACAAGGCTAATTCCTGGTCTTCTGCTCATGTGTTAAGATTCAGCACAAACATTTTCTGTCTTCAAAGAAGCCTCCCAGACAGGGCCAAGTGCCCCTCCTGCTTTCTTAAAGCATCCCCCTAATATCCTTTGTATTATATGTTACTACAGTAAGCTGTTTAGGTGTCTTTCTCCTTCGCTAGAGTGTGGGGGACTCTTGGAGGACAAATACTTCATGTTATTTCTCTCTCCATCCCAGAGTCTAGCAAACAGTAGATAATCAGTAAAATATTAATAGCTAAATGTATTGAAAACTTATTGTGTGCTAACAATTTACTTGAACTATCTCATTGGATCCTCACAACCATTCTATAAGATAGGGGCAGCTTTATATTTATTTTCCAGATAAGAAAATGAAAGCTCAGAAAGATTAAACAAGGGCCAGGCACCGTGGTTCACGCCTGTAATCCCAGCACTTTGGGAACCCAAGGCAGGCAGATCACGAGGTCAGGAAATCGAGACCATCCTGGCCAACATGGTGAAACCCCGTCTCTATTAAAAAAATACATAAAATTAGCCAGGTGTGGTGGCATGCACCTGTAGTCCCCGCTACTCAGGGGGCTGAGGCAGGGGAATAGCTTGAACCCAGGAAGCGGAGGTTGCAGTGAGCCAAGATCACGCCACTGCACTCCAGCCTGGCGACAGAGCAAGATTCGGTCAAAAAAAAAAAAAAAAAAAAAAAAAAAAGATTAAACAAAATATTTGAGTTATCTGAGGTCCCATGGCCGTTTAGTGGCAGAACCAAGATCCAAACTTGAGATCTACTTGACTCTGAAGTCCCAGTTTAACTGCTATGCTCCATTGTTTGTTACAAACTGAAATTAATACCCTTACCCCCAAACCTTCTCAAATCTCCCGACTGACCTCAAAACGGTTCTGCCGAGTTGGGACATCCACTGCTGTCAAGTCAACCAGGGATTTGAACTGTGCATTGGTGTGATCCCTGAGGAAAGTCAGCACTGGGATGATGCCATCAGGATGGATACAGACCTCTAACTCATTGAAGCAGGACACCTGCACACATGGAAGGGAGGGGAGAGGGAACAAAGAGCTACTGAGGGAACAGCTAACTTCAGCTGGAGTCACCTGGCTTAATGCTGAGGGAAAAGTCCAAGGTTGGGATGGAGGAGTCTGTAGTTTCTTTGAAACCAGTCTGCCCACTCCCACATGCTCTGAGAACATGGTTCTTTCTTGGCCCAGACCCAAATAACAGTGGTACGTATTACCTGAACTTGTTGGACATACTTGGGCAAGATTTCAGCCACATACTCTCCAAAAGCTGAGAGCTGCTTGTGGGCCACATCATTCCGTGGTCTGACAGTGGCTGGAAGGAAAAAGCATATTTAACAAAGAAATGGAGAAGGCAAAAGCCAGCCCTGTATCCAGTCTCTTGGGCTTGTAAGGGATGTCAAATCCAGTAAAGGCTCCCTGCAGCACCCTGAGAAAGGGGCATGTGAAAGGTTTCCCTTCCAGGGAATAGAGTGATGAAAACTTGGGGAAAGTGCCACCTTAAGTACACAGTCCTCAGAAAGACTCAATACAGCAGCTGGGGTGTTCACCTCTTCTCAAAATTACTCTACAGTTCTTCCCTCACATTACCTGCATTTCTGCTAAAGCAGTAGTCTCAGTTCTCCTGTCAGACTAAGAGCTGTTTGAGGATGGGAACCAGAACTTTTGCTTCTCTGTAACTTCTTAGCATGTAAGTTTATACCAGGTTCTCAAGATAAGAACTTCAGGGCTTGAGGAGCCCTCACAGACTGTCTCCTTGAAACCTACTTTTTTTTTTTTTTTTTTTTTTTTTGTATCAATGAGAAAACTGAGGCCAAGAAAAGGGGAAATGCTAGGTCTCCTAACTCCCAGTGCGTGCATCTTGACTGTAACATATGTACATACTCATTCATGCAACCCTAAACCACTGAGCACTCACACATCACAAGCTACGGAATGATGGTTAGGTTTTCCTGCCCCTGGCAGCAGGCAGGCCTACTTTGTCATTCACTAGGTCTCTGACCCTGGGCAGTTTAATTCTTTGGATTGTTTCCTGATCTATAGTAAGAAGAGTAAGATACTACCTACCCCATAAGGCTGTTGTGAGGACGAAATAAGATCATTCACTAAAACGCTTAGCGAGGTGCCAGGCACACATTAAGCACTCAACGTGAGGTACTATTATTACAGGGCTCTGAGGACTAAAGGGCACATTGCTTGCTTTCGAAGAGCTGACAGTTTAATCAGACAAAAAGGGGACCATTGAAACGGACAAGGGACAATCAGGGCCATAACAGAGAGGCCTAAGGGTACAGGGAGGGCTCGATTCTGCACGCAGGGTGAAGACCACCGCAGTCAGGTCTCCAAGATTTGCCAGGAAGACGCAGGGAAGGGCATCCTAGGGCAAGGACAGGCACCTAGGGGGCCCCGCCGACAGTTCAGGGAAGAGCGCTGCCAGCACATACTCACGGCGCGTGTCGGCCCCGGCGCTCTCCCGCCTCACCGGCAGCAACAGAACTGAGGGTCGCCCAGCCCCTGCACAGGGAGATAAAAGGCACAGACGCGCGGGGTGAGGCCTGAAGAGCTCTCTGCACTGGGCACGCCGCTGCGCCTGACCCCGGTCTCAGCTAGCTGCCCCTCTCACCCCTCGTCAGCGCCGCGGCCCCCACGATTCCACGCCACCACAGCCTAGCTGTCGCTGCCGCCGCCATGTTACCCAGACACAGACTAGGCAGCGGACGGAAAGACAGCAGGAGACGGAGCCCCAAGGGCACGGACCGGAAGCGGAAGTGTGCAGCAGATCTTCTTCCGGGCGGACGTGGAGCCTGAAGCAGAGGTTCCGGGCTCCGGGATGAAAGGAGGGAACGCAGGTGAGAAAGCGAGACAGGCAGGTAGGGAAACCGTAAGGTGAGCGTGGTCCTAGCTCCGTGTGGCAAAGCCTGGAGAGAAGGCGAGGACGCTGAAGAACCAGACGGGTGAGAGGAGGGGAGGGGGCGGGCGTTCTGGGTTCTGCACTACACACCCCTCCCCCGCTCTCAGCCAAGCTTTTGACGAGGGCGGGCGAGCCTGAGTGGGAAGAACGGTTTCCCTGGCGACGGTTTCCCAGGCGACTTCAGGTGGAGCGGGGATATTGCACAGGGCGATGGGCCTCCCAGTGCCCCGGCCTGAGGGCGGCTGGACTTGAGTTCTGGGACGCAGCCTTAGGGAGTCTTTCGAGCGAGCGGGGAAAGTAGCTCAGAAGAGAGCAAATGTGAGACTGACGTATATCCCAGGCTAGGCCTCATATGGAGCGTCTTAACTCCATGCGCGGGGAAGGAGAGGACCTGGCCACTAGGCCAGGGCGGGGGGTCCTTTTTGTCTGACTCTGCTGCCCCGAACTTCACTAGTTTTATGCCCCAGTTATTTGGTTAGTAAGGCTTTTACGGTCACAGGCCTCCCCCAGCCCTTTGCTTTCATATATTGACCTAAATCCCAAGTCTTTTGTTAATATCATGGAACGGAATTATTCCGTGTTTTCTCAGGAAAACACCCAGAGTTGGAACTTTGATTTATTTCATTAGCGGAGTGGTGCCACTGGGGAGAACGAACCCAGGTTTGGTTAAAGGATAGCGTCAGGGACATCATGGACAGGACCAGGACTAAGGCCAATCTGGACCCACTTTGCTGTCACTTCTTCCATTTCCCTCCCTGAGTTGGACAGTTGGATTCACAGATTATGGCTGTGAATTCCGCAAGTTACTCAAGGTGGTGTTGCTTTGCAGACAGCTGGCAGAGAGAGAAGTTGGCTAGCATGGAATCACCAGAGGAGCCTGGAGCATCCATGGATGAGAACTACTTTGTGAACTATACTTTCAAAGATCGGTCACACTCAGGCCGTGTGGCTCAAGGCATCATGAAACTGTGTCTAGAGGAGGAGCTCTTTGCTGATGTCACCATTTCGGTGGAAGGCCGGGAGTTTCAGCTCCATCGGCTGGTCCTCTCAGCTCAGAGCTGCTTCTTCCGATCCATGTTCACTTCTAACCTGAAGGAGGCCCACAACCGGGTGATTGTGCTGCAGGATGTCAGTGAGTCTGTTTTCCAGCTCCTGGTTGATTATATCTACCATGGGACTGTGAAACTTCGAGCTGAGGAGTTGCAGGAAATTTATGAGGTGTCAGACATGTATCAGTTGACATCTCTCTTTGAGGAATGCTCTCGGTTTTTGGCCCGCACAGTGCAAGTGGGAAACTGCCTTCAGGTGATGTGGCTGGCAGATCGGCACAGTGATCCTGAGCTCTATACTGCTGCCAAACACTGTGCCAAGACCCACCTGGCCCAGCTGCAGAATACAGAGGAATTTCTCCACTTGCCTCACCACCTACTCACAGATATCATCTCGGGTAAGTTTAGGGAGGGGACACAGCATACGAAGTTACTTGGCTGTGATGTTCAGTGAATGTTCTAGTTTAGGAGAAAGGAACCCTCATGCTTCCTGGTGTTAATTTACATTATTATTCCTGCATTCTTACTGAGATAACCTGCTAAGAAAGATTGAGTTGAGATTCAGTGTAATTGCTGTCAGAGACACAGTGTGTTAGAGGAAGAAGCCAGGAAAATTAAAGCACAACACTTAACCACACAAAAGTACTGAGGAGTGATTTGTATTATACTCTAATTTCTCCTGTACTTTGGATGTCCCGGTGGGTCTAATTACCTATGTAAATTGGTGATGAGGTAAGATATCTAAGACTAAAAACTTTTTTAGTGATGGGCCAACGTCAGGAAACAATCCTAACCCTGCAAGTGAGATATAACCATACTTAAGGTGTGAGGTTGGCTAGGCACGGTGGCTCACGCCTGTAATCCCAACACTTTGGGAGGCCGAGGTGGGCGGATCACCTGAGGTCAGGAGTTCGAGACCACCCTGGCCAACATGGTGAAATCCCGTCTCCACAAAAAAATACAAAAATTAGCTGGATGTGGTGGTGGGCACCTGTAGTCTCAGCTAATTGGGAAGGCTGAGGCAGGAGAATCACTTGAACCCGGAGGCAGAGGTTGCAGTAAGCCAAGATCATGCCACTGCACTTCAGCTTGGGCAACAGAGCAAGATTCCATCTCAAAAAAAAAAAAATAGTGTGAGCTCTATAGCTTAGTAGGTTGCTTCCGTGGCAGATGGGAGCATATCGAGCCATCCATTTTGATTTAAAAAAGCAAGGCACATATTCTGGTTTTTCTTCAGATTGTCTAAATATTTTGCCTTTTACTAAAGATTTCCATGGAGAGGAACAGTTGTGAGTCTTTACCCAACTTTTTGAGGCCTCATGTAACACGAGACTACTTTAAAAAAAAAAAAGCAAGGCATGCCAGGCATGATGGCTCATGCCTGTAATCCCAGCATTTTGGGAGGCCAAGGAGGGAGGATCGCTTGATGCCAGGAATTTGAGACCAGCGTGGACAACATAGCGAGACCTTGTCTATACAGAAAATAAGAAAATTAGCCAGGCGTGGTGGTGCACACCTGTAGTCCCAGCTACTTGGGAGGCTGTAGCAGGATTGCTGGAGCCCAGGAGGTTGAGGCTACGGTGATGGTGATTGTGCCATTGCATTCCTGCCTGAGCGACAGGGTGAGACCCTGCCCCCCACCCAAAAAAAAGGCAATTTCAGGTTAATTTCATGTATATGTGTATGTATGCATGGACATATATACACATGCCCAGCAGTAGTCTAATAAAGCAGTTCACATCTTTTAAAGTCCCTTACTCTGAATTTCTCTTTCGGATCGTCATTGACCATGCCTTTCCTCTGGCTCTCACAGATGGAGTTCCATGTTCTCAGAACCCAACAGAGGCAATAGAAGCCTGGATTAACTTTAATAAAGAGGAAAGAGAGGCTTTTGCAGAGTCACTCAGGACAAGCTTGAAGGTAAGGCAAATCTCTTAATTGTTGAGACTGCACACTCTCCATGCATTCTCACCATCAGGTAACCTGGCCTCTTTTTTTTTTTTTTAAGACGATTTTAGCTTTGTCACCCAGGCTGGAGTGCAGTGGCGCAATCTCAGCTCACTGCAACCTCCACTTCCCAGTTTCAGGCGATTCTCCTGCCTCAGCCTCCCAAGTAGCTGGGATTACAGGTGCTGCCACCACGCCTGACTAATTTGTGTATTTTTTAGTAGAGATGGGGTTTCACCACATTGGCCAGGCTGGTCTGGAACTCCTGACCTCAGATGGCCCGCCTGCCTCTGCCTCCCAAAGTGCTGGGATTACAGGTGTGAGCCACTGGGCCTGGCCTAACCTGGCCTCTTTGTGTGTATGTATGTGTGTCTGTGGGAGAGAGAGAGATGGAGTTTCGCTCTTGTCACCCAGGCTAGAGTGCGATGGTGCGATCTCGGCTCACTGCAACCTCCGCCTCCTGGGTTCAAGTGATTTTTCTGCGTCAGCCTCCCAAGTAGCTGGGATTTCAGACGCCCACCACCACACCCAGCTAATTTTTGTATTTTTAATAGAGACGGGTTTTACCATGTTGGCCAAGCTGGTCTCATTCCTGACCTCAGGCGATCCGCCCGCCTTGGCCTCCCAAAGTGTTGGGATTACAGGCGTGAGCCAATGCGCCTGACCTAACCTGGCCTCTTTTTGATGGCCAGGTTATGAATGGTCATCTGTTTTCGTTTTTGCTTTTTTTTTCTTTTTTTTTTTGAGACAGAGTCTCACTCTGTTGCCCAGGCTGGAGTGTAATGGCATGATCTCAGCTCACTGCAACCTCCACCTCTCGGGTTCAAGCAATTCTGTCTAAGCCTCCCGAATAGCTGGGAATACAGGCGCATACCACCACGCCCAGCTAATTTTTGTATTTTTAGTGGAGACAGGGTTTCACCATATTGGTCAGGCTGGTCTCGAACTCTTGGGCTTAGATGATCTGCCCACCTCAGCCTCCCAAAGTGCTGGGATTACAGGTGTGAGCAACCGCGCCTGGCCATCTCTGTTTTTTTAATTTTTTATATTTATTTATTATTTTTTTGAATAAGTCATCTCTGGCTTGAAGTTGATGTAAGCTGGGGAGAAGGATGTCTTTGTAACCCCAGAACCACCAATCTATGAGCTCTCAAAGTTCCTTGAGAACTACTTTCATCAAGTTAACAATCTTAATCACCCTTTGTCCAAAGCACCAGTTTATGAGAGTTTTAAAAGTTACAAGGGTGAATACAAGATTCTCCTCCCGGCATAAATTGCCTCAAAGAAAGTGACTAGAGGACAGTTGGATGCCATGCAGTAATTAGAGAGTAGTATGTTAAAGCTAGGTACAGGTGTAAAGTCCGGGATCTTAAGGATATGTGTCTTAGCAGAGCCTTAGCCTAGAACTTAACAGCTGTCATATAATTTTAATTTTGCCAATAGGAAATTGGGGAGAATGTGCACATTTACCTGATTGGGAAAGAGTCATCTCGTACCCACTCGTTGGCTGTGTCCTTGCACTGTGCAGAAGATGACTCCATCAGTGTAAGTGGCCAAAACAGCTTGTGCCACCAGATCACTGCGGCCTGCAAGCATGGTGGAGACTTGTATGTGGTGGGAGGGTCCATCCCACGGCGCATGTGGAAGTGCAACAATGCCACCGTTGACTGGGAGTGGTGTGCTCCTTTGCCTCGGGACCGGCTCCAGCACACCCTGGTGTCTGTGCCCGGGAAAGATGCCATATATTCACTGGGTGGCAAGACACTGCAAGATACCCTCTCCAATGCAGTCATTTATTATCGCGTAGGTGATAATGTGTGGACAGAGACAACCCAGCTAGAGGTGGCTGTGTCAGGGGCTGCTGGTGCCAACCTCAACGGGATCATCTACTTACTGGGGGGGGAGGAGAATGATCTGGACTTCTTTACCAAACCTTCCCGACTCATCCAGTGCTTTGACACAGAGACAGACAAATGCCATGTGAAGCCCTATGTGCTGCCCTTTGCAGGCCACATGCACGCAGCTGTGCATAAAGATCTGGTGTTCATCGTGGCTGAAGGGGACTCCCTGGTATGTTACAATCCCTTGCTAGACAGCTTCACCCGGCTTTGCCTTCCTGAGGCCTGGAGCTCTGCCCCATCCCTCTGGAAGATTGCCAGCTGTAACGGGAGCATCTATGTCTTCCGGGACCGATATAAAAAGGGGGATGCCAACACCTACAAGCTTGACCCTGCCACTTCAGCCGTAACTGTCACAAGAGGTATTAAGGTGCTGCTTACCAATTTGCAGTTTGTGTTGGCCTAAGGCTGTGGGGAGGGGAGGAGAGCTGCTCACTCCTTTTCCCTCCCCATCCAAACTCAAAGTCCCCCGGGCCCCAATTCAGAGTAATGTATTTTTTGGCACATACTAGAAAGGCAGTGCCTCAGCCCTTCCCTGAACCCATGGAGGTGTTCTGTTTGGGGCTTTTTAGACTGCTGCTGCTCAGCTGGCTGCTTGAACTGACAGTAGGCCAGCCTGTTCTCTGCCATCCCCTAGTCATTGTGTGCCTCACCACAGCTTGCTTTAGAGCAAGCTGTTTCTCAGACCTTAGGCACAGCCTCTCCTCTTTACCTGATCAATGTTAAATATAAGCACCCCTGATCCCAGGACATAAGGAAAGATGCCCAATTGTACTTTTGTTCTATAACCTATGAAATGGCTAGTTGATCATTTTTCCACAAAGAATTAGGTGTTAAGAGTTTTCCTTCGGGCTTTACTTAGGAGTATGGACTAAGCTGAAGGTGTACTTCACCAGCAAGAGTCAACTCTAGAATTCAGGACGTTCCTTCTATTGTTTTCTCATCCATCTGTCAGGAAATGTAACTTTGGTTTTATTTTTGGCTTATTCCAAGGGGTAAGCCAGAAAATAGAAATGATTATTTCTGATTAATAGCAGAAACTTTTTCAAACTCAAATATGTAAGGTGTCTGCTCTTTTAAAAGCTCTAAGCTAAGTCAAGAGCTAGGAAGTGTTGATACAAATAAAAGTTTTTGAAGGGATATGTGTGTCTGTGTTGAATTCCGAAGGGGTGACTTTGAAGGGGCGAGAGTGTTTCATTCCCTCAGGGGGACTCCTTACGTACCATCACATGGCTCAGTCTGCAGCAGTCCTGACTGCGCCCATGCTCCCACTTCTCCAGACAGGATCCCTACTCCACAGGGCCAGTGAGACTCAGATTCTGACAGTGGCAAAGACCCAGAGCTGAGTTTCCTTTTTTCTAGTGCTAAGTCTTTTGAGTTGTGGTGCTAAATATTATTAGGCACAATATTAGGTACATAATAATAGATTTTTGTTAAAATACTTCTTTAGCTCTATTCAAGAAAAGAAGATGGCCCCATCCCTGTCCTGTATCCCATGAATACAAGCCACACTAAATCTTTTCCTTTCTAGCCACACAACAGTGTTATTTCAAGAAAATGAAACAAGACAGAGAAAGCAAAATTACCTATTACCTATTGGCACATTTTGGTTATGTCAAGTCTGGGCTTAAGCCCTGTGGGTCCCGTTAAGCTTTTTTTATTCTGTATCAAGCGGGAATGTCTTGAGTTCTTTCTAATCCACATACATCATGTCTTTGAAGTGTCAAAAGTCCCATCCTTTGCTGCCCCTGCAGTAACCTGCTTGTGGAACTCTTTAAGAACATCCAGCTGGCCAGGCCTGATGTGGATGTAAGACCGGATCTTGGCGATGGCTCTTACAGCCTCCTCTGGACTCCATCTGTGCACCTGAAGTACAGGGTTGAGAAATCAGCAGAGAAAGAAAGAAGCAGGTGTCAGGCCGGGCGCGGTGGCTCAAGCCTGTAATCCCAGCACTTTGGGAGGCCGAGATGGGCGGATTACGAGGTCAGGAGATCGAGACCATCCTGGCTAATACGGTGAAACCCCATCTCTACTAAAAAATACAAAAACTAGCCGGGCGAGGTAGTGGGCGCCTGTAGTCCCAGCTACTCGGGAGGCTGAGGCAGGAGAATGGCGTAAACCTGGGAGGCGTAGCTTGCAGTGAGCTGAGATCCGGCCACTGCACTCCAGCCTGGGTGACAGAGCGAGACTCCGTCTCAAAAAAAAAAAAAAAAAAAAAAAAAAAAAAAAGCAGGTGTCAACGTGCCCTTGACACATGAGCAGGTGCTAAAGGACTTCGAGAGTTTCATTTCTTTGGAAACTCCATTTTGGAGGCATTAAAAATCATGCTTCTTGTATTATAAATGGGAGAGTACTGTAAACACTGCAGTCAGCCAGTCTCACAATACTATGCAACAGGCCAGGTGGAAAGTCAGTCTTTCTACCCAATTCTTGCTCTGCCAAATCCTAGAAAAAGAAAGTTGCACATGAGAAGCTGAGGTCCTAAGTTCAAGACTGCCTCAGCCTACTCCACATTCTCTCCGAGCTGGGCTTTTGGTTAAAAGAACTTCTAGGAACAAGTATGCAATAGATGTTTTGTTTGTTTGTTTTTTATTGAGACAGTGCCTCGCTGTGTCACCCAGGCTGGAGTGCAGTGGCGATCTCAGCTCACTGCAAGCTCCGCCTCCCGGGTTCACGCCATTCTCCTACCTCAGCCTCCCGAGTAGCTGGGACTACAGGTGCCCGCCACCACGCCCAGCTAATTTTTAGTATTTTTAGTAGAGACGAGGTTTCACCGTGTTAGCCAGGCTCAATCTCCTGACCTCGTGATCCGCCCGCCTCTACCTCCCAAAGTGCTAGGATTACAGGCGTGAGCCACCGCGCCCGGCCTGCAGTAGATGTTTTTATGCAACTTGTCACCATGGCTAGAAAAACAAGTACTCATAATTTAAATAGGAGGGTTAACATGTCCTAAGGATACTCATTGGTTTAGAACTGAACAGAACCAAGAAAATACAGATTTCTAGCTTGCTAATTCAATTCTCACTGGGTACAAAATACCCTCCTGAGACCCTGAGTCCAGCAGAGTCCTTATGACCGAAATTTTAGTATCGTTCAACTACATACATACACACCAGTCCACAGTAACACAAGGCCAAACTTAGCTATTCACATGACTTAGAAAATGCTCTGTGGGAGCCATTTTGTAACTCAGGTTACAAAATGATGATGGACTACAGGGTATTTGTTTCTCCTAAATATTTTTAAAGCATCCCACCTGCCAATCATGACAAATTAACAGGCAGAATCTAGTTTGGAGCCTGTTTCCAGAAACTAATATCCAGAACTTGACTCTGGAATACTTGAAGAAACTTGAGTACTATAAAGCTGAAAATGATCATCACTATTATCTACAGTATTGTTCCCTGACATGGTATTAGAACAAGTGTCTAGCCTTTTGCTGGGGTTGAATATCTTTTGCAACTCCATTTTTAGAGTGCCCGCTGTAGCCAGCACTTGATGTAATTTCTTTTTTTTTTTTTTTTTTTTTTTTTTTTTTTTTTTTTTTTTTTTTTTTTTTTTTTTTTTTTTTTTTTTTTTTTTTTTTTTTTTTTTTTTTGCTTATGTAATTTCTTATTTAAACTTCATAATACATTTAGTTTGAGAAAACAGCATTAGGTATCAGTCACTTTTGCTGATCCTCACTGGCAGGCGGCAGAGCCCCAGGTTAGCCTGTCACAAGGCTCAGGTGCTTTCCATCATATCACACCACCTCCCAACAGCCTGAAATCAAGCACACAGCTCCTTCCAACAAGGCCCACCAGTAGACCATGCTATTGAAGTTCTGGAAATCTGCTATAAATGGGACCAGAAAGATTTTTTTTTTTTTTTTTTTTTTTGAGAGAGGGTTTCACTGTGTCGGCCATGCTGCAGTGCAGTGGCACAAATCATGGCTCACTGCAGCCTCTACCTACCGGGCTCAGGTGATCCTTCCATCTCAGCCTCCCAAGTAGCTGGGACTACAGGTGCACACCACCAAACCGAGCTAACCTTTTGTATTTTTTGTAGAGACGGCTTTGCCATGTTGCCCAGTCTGGTCTCAAACTCCTGGGCTCAAGCCATCCTCCCACTTCAAGCCTCCCAAAATGCTAGGATTGTAAGCATGTACCACGATGCCCAGCCCAGAAAGAACTTTTGTACCTGAATCAGGTATGCTGCCACCATAGTGGCACTCCTGGAGCGCCCAGCCTTACAATGCACGTAGACACACTGGCCCAGCGACTGGTACTTGAGAGCAAATTGGACTCCCTTCTGGAGGTTGTCCAAGGTAGGGATCCCAGTCATGTCTACTGTGCTGAGCCGCAGCTGCTCGACTCCTAGTCTCTTCCACTCCTGGAACCAGGTCCACCAGTATGAAAAAGAATGAAAAAAACCTGATGTGGGTGGGATGATAAGGGGCTCCTAAGAGGCAGCAAAGCAACAGGGAAGTTTCAGGGTTTACTACAATGGGAATACACTGTTTCCTGTTTTCTAAAATAGAAACTCCTTACAGAAATGCTTTTTTTTCCCATTCCGGGTGAGGACAGAAATGTCTTTAAAATGGCTGGCCTACATAGTTGGTTTTTCATCAAACAGCAGCTATGCTGCTGAGTTAGAATTATGTCCAAGATTTAAAGTGTTCCTTTTCTTTTATTAAGACAGAGTCTCGCTCTGTTGCCCAGGCTGGAGTGCAGTGGTGTGATCTCAGCTCACTGCAACCTCCACCTCCCAGGTTCAAGCGATTCTCCTGCCTCAGCCTCCTGAGTAGCTGGGCCCACAGGCACGCGCCACCAAGCCTGGCTAATTGTATTTTTAGTAGAGACGGGATTTCATCATGTTGGCCAGGATAGTCTCAAACTCCTAACCTCAGGTCATCTGCCCGCCTCAGCCTCCCAAAGTGCTGGGATTACAGGTGTGAGCCACCACACCAGCAGGTAAAGTGTTCTTAAACTACCCTTTGTGTACTTGAATATTTAGCTGCAAAATATTAGCTATATATATTTTAGCTGCAAAAAATTCAGCTGCAAACATCTTAACATTTTATTTCGGCCGGGCATAGTGGCTCACGCCTGTAATCCCAACGATTTGTAAGGCTGAGGTGGGCAGATCACCTAAGGTCAGGAGTTCGAGACCAGCCTGGCTAACATGGTGAAACCCTGTCTCTAATAAAAATACAAAAATTAGCCAGGCCTGGTGGCGGACGCCTGTAATCCCACCTACTAGGGAGGCTGAGGCAGGAGAATTGTTTAACCCAGGAGAGAGAGGTTGCAGTGAGCAGAGATCACACCATTGTATTCCAGCCTGGGTGACAAGAGAAAAACAACATCTCAAAAAATATACATATTTTATTTTAGAGACACGATCTTGCTATGTCGCTCAGGTCAGAGAGCAGTGGTGTGCAATCATGGCTCCCTGCAGCTTCAAACTCCTAAGCTCAAGCAGTCCTCCCACCTCTGCCTCCTGAGAAGCTGTGACTACAGCTGCACGCCACTGTGCCTCGCTAATTTTGTTATTTTTGTGTGTGGAGATGGGGGTCTCACTATGTTGCCCAGGCTGGTCTCAATGTCCTATCCTCAAGCCATCCTCCTGTCTCAGCCTCCCAAAGTGTTGGGATTACAGGCATGAGCCACCAGGCCCAGCCAGTGTAACTTTTTTTTGGCACCTGTGTAGTGATTCAGCTGCAGATTTGGGGTACAATATTTTGCCAGGGCTTTCTATTTCTCTGTCCATAAGTCTCCTCTTTTTTTACCACTTTTTTTTTGAGGAAGCACATGGTAGAAAATAGGGTTATCATTTTAAAATTAAAAGAATGGGCCAGGCGCAAGACTCCGTCTGGAAAACAAAAAAAACAAAAAAAAAATTAAATTAAAACAATGCACTGACCTTCATTAGTGCAATGTCATCACTTACAAAGAAGAAATAGGTGGCCAGGTGCGGTGGCTCACGCCTATAATCCCAGATTTTGAGAGGCCAAGGTGGGTGAATAGCCTGAGGTCAGGAGTTCGAGATGACTCTGGCCAACATGGCGAAACCCTATCTCCACAAAAAATACAAAAATTAGCCAGGCATGGTGGCGGGCACCTGTAATTCCAGCTACTTGGGAGGCTGAGGCAGGAGAATCACTTGAACCGGGAGGCAGACGTTGCAGTGAGCTGAGATTGCACCATTGCACTCTAGCCTGGACAATGGAGTGAGATGTGAGACTCTGTCTCAAAAAAAAAAAAAAAAAAAAGAAGAAATAAGAGAAATAAGGTCTTTCGCAACTGGGCAAACTTTATGCTTTAAGACTTCAGATATCCTCCAGCTACTCTTATTATTAACCTCTTAATAATGAGTATCGGAGACTGTATGGTTCTGAATGAAGGTCAGCTTTTTTTTTTTTTTTTTTGAGACGGAGTCTCCCTCTGTCGCCCAGGCTGGAGTGCAGTGGCCGGATCTCAGCTCACTGCAAGCTCCGCCTCCCGGGTTCACGCCATTCTCCTGCCTCAGCCTCCCCAGTAGCTGGGACTACAGGTGCCCGCCACCTCGCCGGGCTAGTTTTTTGTATTTTTTAGTAGAGACAGGGTTTCACCATTTTGGCCAGACTGATCTCAAACTCCTGACCTCACACGATCTACCCACCTCAGCCTCCCAAAGTGCTGGGATTACAGGCGTCAGAGCTACCACGCCTAGCCAAGTCACAAATATTTCCAGCCAAGTCACAAATATTTTTAAGGTTTCAAAAAATCCTCAGGTTGAAATAATAGTATCTTCATCATGCTATATCAGTAAAACAAAGGAGAAAGATAATTGTTTAGTGCTATTAGATGCCAAACACTATAAAGATAGGGCAACATTTTTAATCACATTGTAGATAACATCTTTTTTTTTTTTTTTTTTTTTTTTTTTTTTTTTTTTTTTTTGAGACGGAGTCTCGCTCTGTCGCCCAGGCTGGAGTGCAATGGCCGGATCTCAGCTCATTGCAAGCTCCGCCTCCTGGGTTTACGCCATTCTCCTGCCTCAGCCTCCCGAGTAGCTGGGACTACAGGCGCCCGCCACCTCGCCCAGCTAGTTTTTTGTATTTTTTTAGTAGAGACGGGGTTTCACCGTGTTAGCCAGGATGGTCTCGATCTCCTGACCTCGTGATCCGCCCGTCTCGGCCTCCCAAAGTGCTGGGATTACAGGCTTGAGCCACCGCGCCCGGCCATAACATCTTTTTTTTTTTTTCTTGGGATGGAGTCTCGCTCTGTCGCCCAGGCTGGAGTGCAGTAGCCGGATCTCGGCTCACTGCAAGTTCCGCCACCCGGGTTTACGCCATTCTCCCGCCTCAGCCTCCCGAGTAGCTGGGACTACAGGCGCCCGCCACCTCGCCCGGCTAGTTTTTTGTATTTTTTTAGTAGAGACAGGGTTTCACCGTGTTAGCCAGGATGGTCTCGATCTCCTGACTTCGTGATCCGCCCGTCTCAGGTTCCCAAAGTGCTGGGATTACAGTCTTGAGCCATCGCGCCCGACCAGATAACATCTTCTAATAACCATTGTGGAAGATTCCACAAACAAGCCAGTCACATTTAATGAAAGTTATGCTTTAGGCCTAAACTTCGTTATGAAAGAACTTTGTAGTTCCACCATGATTTCTAACATATGACTAAAAATTCCCCCAAATCAGAGCCAAATTAACTCTACAGTTTATGAAAAATGTGGGGAGGGGGACGTATTAAGGGGGTGCTTTTCTTCTTATAGTTGGCAGGGCCTTCATCTGGAATCGTTAACACTGGGAATGCTGACCCATACTCAGAGCTCAAAGTGCAGAAAGAATGAATGAAATCAGGAAGGCACAGGAAAGTTGCCTTTCAATTTTAGTTTCTGATTTTGTTTACTGAAATAAGAATACATTACATTCGTTCACAAAGGAGAAATCAGACTTTGTCAACTTGCACTTTTTTTTTCTTTTTTTTTTTTTTGAGACTGTTTCACTCCTGTCGCCCAAGGCTGGGCTGGAATGCAAGATGTCGGCTCACTGCAACCTCCACCTCCCCGGCTCAAGTGATTCTCCTGCCTTAGCCTCCCAAGTAGCTGGGACTACAGGCGCACGCTACCATTCCCGGCTACTTTTTGTATTTTTGTAGAGATGGGGGCCTCGCCATGTTGCCCAGGTTGGTCAGGAACTCCTGGGCTCAAGTGATCTGCCCGCCTCCTCCTCCCGCCTCCCAAAAGTGCTGGGATTACAGGCGTGAGTCACCGCGCCCGGCCCAACTTGAACTTTTAAATAAACGCCTTTCACAGTTTCTAGCCTACCTCCAGGTGCCGTTTAGAGGACCAGACTGGAGGGAAAGCAGCTTGGGACGCCTGGCTCTGGGGCATGATGACCTCCCCCAAACTTCTCTAGCCGTCCCAGGCCCAGGGCGGTGGGCGAGGGGAGCGGGCCCCCGAGCCTGCCCCGCGGCCCGGTCCCTCACCTGTGAAGAGTGGCACAGGAACCTCGTCTCATACTCCTCGTTCATGGTGATCACCCCGCGCACGTTCTCGTCCTGTACCAGCTGCCGAGGCAAAGAGGTGGCTCAGCAAAGACGGTGGAGACCCCAGCGGCCCGACAGAGACGGAACGGCGGGGACGGGGCAGGTGCCCGGGCTCCCCGGCCTGGCTCACCTGGCGCGTCAAGCTCCGCAACGGCAGCGCGCCCAGCAGCACTGTGGGGTCGATGCGGTGGTACCAGTCCCGGTGCGCCCGACCCGGCACCTTCCCGCGGAACAGGGTGTAGAGCAGCGTCGGGTAGAAGAGCACCCGCGCCAGGCCGGCCTCCAGCAGCGCGGTGGCCGCCATCCCGCGCCACCCGGCCCGGCGCAGAGGCGACCCATCGGCCCCCGCGCTCGCGGTCTGGACCCGCGAGAAGAGCAGGCGGGTGCCGGGGCGGGGCTGCCAGCTGCACGAGGCCTCTCGCGGGCTCGCACCGGGTGACGGCGGGCTGGCCTGGAGCCCCCGGGGCGGGCCGCGGGGCTCTGGAGGAGGGCCCGGCGGTCTCGGGGGAGGGACCGAGGACTCCTGGGCGGGAAACTGGAACCCCGGCCAAGGGAAAGCGCGTCGCGGGCCAGACACGTGTGAGCCCCGTAGCGTGGGAAACTGAGGCCCTCGCTTGTGGCCGGTGACCTCCTTCCTCCGAGGGAAGGGGTGTGACCCCAGGGGAGGAGAGCAGGAAGGACACTCCCTCCAACCCTCGACCAGAGAAGGGGGCAGTGACCCTAAGTGCGGGTGTGACCCCACCAAAGGGAAGAAAAGACAAGGAAGAGGCTGTGTGCCAGGTAGCCCTGAAGAGGAGAGTGGAAGGACTTAGAGCTTTGAAACAGAGGAGCTACCTGAGTGAGGGCCTGATCCCAGGGTGAACAGGGGACTTGGGCTGAGGTCGCCTTCCTCCTCCCCTACCCGTCCCAGGGCACGGCTCCCTCCATCATCTGACCAAACAGCAGTGTTTACATAGCAGGAAAAAATAGGAAAATATGCATTATAATGTATTAATATATCATTAAAAAATTATGAAAAGCTCAAATATGAAACCTGCAATCTACAAAAAGGTAAGTAGAATGGTTGTAATGGCAGCTATTTACTTTTTTGTTGTTTGTTTGTTTTGAGATGGAGTCTCACTCTGTTGCCCAGGCTGGAGTGCAGTCACACGATCTCTGGCTCACTGCAACCTCCGCCTCCTGGTTCAAGCGATTCTCCTGCCTCAGCCTCCCGAGTAGCTGGGATTACAGGTGTGTGCCACCACACCCAGCTAATTTTTGTTTTTAGTAAAGATGAGGTTTCACCATGTCAGCCAGGCTGGTATCGAACTCCTGACCTCAGGTGATCCACCTGCCTCGGCCTCTCAGAGTGCTGGGATTACAGGCTTGAGCCACTCGGTGGGCCTATTTATATTTAAATCTTTCTCTGAAACAGGCATCTGGTGTTTTTTTTTTCTGTTTGTTGTTGTTGAGACAGAGTCTTTTTTTTTTTTTTTTTTGAGACGGAGTCTCGCTCTGTCACCCAGGCTGGAGTGCAGTGGCCGGACCTCAGCTCACTGCAAGCTCCGCCTCCCGGGTTTATGCCATTCTCCTGCCTCAGCCTCCCGAGTAGCTGGGACTACAGGCGCCTGCCACCTCGCCTGGCTAGTTTTTTTTTTGTATTTCTTAATAGAGACGGGGTTTCACCGTGTTAGCCAGGATGGTCTCGATCTCCTGACCTCGTGATCCGCCCGTCTCGGCCTCCCAAAGTGCTGGGATTACAGGCTTGAGCCACCGCGCCCGGCCGACAGAGTCTTAATCTGTGGCCCAGGCTGGTGTGCAGTGGCACTATCTTAGATCACTGCAATCTCTGCCTCCCTGGTTCAAGTGATTCTCCTGCCTCAGCCTCCCTAGTAGCTGGGACTACAGGTGTGCACCGTCACTCCTGGCTATTTTTGTTCGTTTGTTTTTGTTTTTGAGACAAAGTCTCGCTCTGTCACCAGACTGGAGAGTACAGTGGCAAGATCTTGGCTCACTGCAACCTCCGCCTCCTGGGTTCAAGTGATTCTCCTGCCTCAGCCTCCCAAGTAGCTGGGATTATAAGCACATGCCACCACTCCCAGCTAATTTTTGTATTTTTAGTAGAGACAGGGTTTCACCATGTTGGCCAGGCTGGTCTCAAACTCCTGACCTCAGGTGATCCATCCCCCTTGGCCTTCCAAAGTGCGGGGATTACAGGCATGAGCCACCCCACCTGGCCCATCTGGTGGTTTTAAAAGATTCATTTTCTTTTCTTTTTTGAGATGTAGTCTCCTTCTGTTGCCTAGGCTGGAGTGCAGTAGCGCCATCTCGGCTCACTGCAACCTCCGCCTCCCGGGTACAGGCAATTCTCCTGCCTCAGCCTCCCCAATAGCTGGGACTACAGGTGCCCACCACTATGCCCGGCTAATTTTTTGTGTGCTTTTAGTAGAGACAGGGTTTCGCCATGTTGGCCGGACTGCTCTCAAACTCCTGACCTCAGGTGATCCATCCGCCTTGGTTTCCCAAAGTGCTGGGATTACAGGCGTGAGCCACCGCACCCGACCTAATTTTAGAATATTTTCATTGCCCTCAAAATAAGCCCCATATCCATTAGCAGAGACACCATTTTCTCCCAATCATCCTCCAGCCTTAGGCAAACTAACCTACTTTCTGACTCTATAGATTTACATGTTTAGCATGTTTAGGGCATTTCTTCTTTTTACTTTTCTTCTTTTTTTTTTTTTCTAGGAAACAGGCTCTCACTGTCACCTAGACTAGAGCACAGTGGCAGCGTGACCATGACTCACTGTAGCCTTGACCTTTTGGGTACAAGCAATCTTCCCACCTCAGCCTCCCAAGGAGTTGAGACTACAGACATGTGCCACGATGCCTGGCTAATTTTTTATTATTTGTGGTGATGGGGTCTCACTGTGTTGCCCAAACTGATCTCAGGGCTGGGCACAGTGGCTTACTCCTGTAATCCCAGCACTTTGGGAGGCTGAGGCAGGCAGATCACCAGAGGTCAGGCGTTTGAGACCAGCGTGGTCAACATGGAGAAACCCCATCTCTACTAAAAACATACAAAAATTAGCCAGGTATAATAGTGGGCGCCTGTAATCCCAGCTACTCGGGAGGCTGAGGCAGGAGAATCACTTGAACCCGGGAGGCAGAGGTTGTGATGAGCCGAGATCACGCCACTGCACTTCAGCCTGGGTGACACCATGTCAAAAACAAAACAAAACAAAACAAAGTGATCTTGAATTCCTGGGCTCAAACAATCCTCCCGATTTGGCCTCCCAAAGTACTGGGATTATAGGTCTGAACTACTGTGTCTAGCCTAGTGTATTTCAAATAAATGGAGTCATACAATATGTGTTCTTTGTATCTGGCTTCTTCTTTTTTTTTTTTTTTTTTTTTTTGAGATAGAGTTTCACTCCTGTTGCCCAGGCTGGAGTGCAATGGTGTGATTTTAGCTCACTGCAACCTCCACCTCCTGGGCTCAAGCAATTCTCCCACCTCAGCCTCCTGAGTAGCTGGGACCACAGGTGCGCACCACCACACCTGGTGGCAAATTTTTGTATTTTTGGTAGAGATGGGCTTTCACCATATTGTCCAGGTTGATCTCGAACTACTGGACTCAAGTGATCTTCCTGCTTCAGCCTCTCGAAGTGCTGGCATTGCATGCGTGAGCCACCCCACCCTTTTTTTTTTTTGAGATGGAGTTTCATTCTTGTCGCCCAGGCTGGAGTGCAATGGCATGATCTCAGCTCACTGCAACCTCCACCTCCCAGGTTCAAGCAATTCTCCTGCCTCAGACTCTCTAATAGCTGGGATTACAGGCATGCACCACCACTCCCAACTAATTTTATATTTTTAGTAGAGAAGGTTTCTCCATGTTGGTCAGCCTGGTCTCGAATTCCCCACCTCAGGTGAACTGCCCGCCTGGGCCTCCCAAAGTGCTGGGATTACAGGTGTTAGCAACTGCATGTGGCCTTTTTTTGTTTTTCTTTTTCTTTTCCTTTTTTTCAGACGGAGTCTCTCTGTTGCCCAGGCTGGAGTACAATCTCGACTCACTGCAAGCTCCGCCTCCCGGGTTTACACCATTCTCCTGCCTCAGCCTCCTGAGTAGCTGGGACTACAGGCGCCCGCCACCACATCTGGCTAATTGTTTGTATTTTTAGTAGAGATGGGGTTTCACTGTCTTAGCCAGGATGGTCTCAATCTTCTGACCTCATGATCCGCCCATCTCAGCCTCCCATAGTGCTGGGATTACAGGTGTGAGCCACCACACCCAGCCTTTTTTTTCTTAATAGATATCTCTTTGCTTAGAGATATCTGTATTATGCTTAGAATGTTTTCAAGGATCGTCCATGTTGTAGCAAGTATCAGACTGTCCTTTTTATTGCCAAATAATATTTCAATATATGGACAGACCACATGTTTTTATCCGTTTATCAGTTGATGGACATTTGAGTTGTTTCCATTTTTGGCTATGTTGAACAATGCTGCTGGGAACATCTGCATACAACTTCTGGACATAGGTTTTCATTTCTTTTGTATATTTGACTAATCATGGAATTATGAGGTTATAGAGTATTACTATGTTTAACCTTTAGAAGAACTGTCAGTTTTCCAAAGTGACTGCACCTTTTTGCATTCCCACCAGGAGAGTATGGAGGGTTCCAATGTTGCCATGCCACATGGTCGCCAACACTTATTATCTGTCTTTCATTATAGCCATTTTAGTGGGTGTGGTGTCTCTTTGTGGAATAAACTTTTTTTTTTTGAGACGGAGTCTCGCTTTGTTGCCCAGACTGGAGTGCAGTGGCGTGGTCTTGGCTCACTGCAAGCTCTGCCTCCTGGGTTCACGCCATTCTCCTGCCTCAGCCTCCCAAGTAGCTGGGACTATGGGCGCCCGCCACCACGCCCGGCTTATTTTTTGTATTTTTGGTAGAGACGGGGTTTCTCCGTGTTAGCCAGGATGGTCTCAATCTCCTGACCTCGTGATCCACCCGCGTTGGCCTCCCAAAATGCTGGGATTACAGGCCTGAGCCATTGCGCCCGGCCAGGAATAAACTTTTAAATGTGGAATAATTTAGATGCACAGAAAGGTTTTAAAAATAGTACTGAGAGTCCATTATGTCCTTCCCCCTCCAATGTTAACATTTTTTTTGGTAACAGCTTTATTGAGGTATAATGCATATGCCTTATCACCCTCCTAACTATACAATTCAGTGTTTATTAATATACTCACAGGGTTGCACAACCATCACCAATATCTAATTTTAGAAAATTTCATCATCCCTAAAAGAAATCCTATACCCATTAGCAATCACTCCCCATTCCCTCATTACCTGACAACCACGAATTGACTTTCTGTCTCAGTGGACCTGCCTATTCCAAACATTTCATATACATGGATCATACAACATGTGGTCTTTGTATATTCATGTACACATATTGATAAAGGTCATTATAACTATATAATATTATAACTAGAAAATGTTTTGTTTTTTGTTTTTGAGACAGAGTCTCACTCTGTCACCCAGGCTGGAGTGCAGTGATGTGTACATTATATAATATGTATATTATATGTATATTATATATGATATGTATA